GATAATAGGAAAACTGGTTGAACATAAGTGAACACTTCTTACACTTTACACGATTGTATATATGGAAAGAAATGGTAAGTGTGAAGTTTACTACTTTCTATTAATCTATATATTCATATTCTTATTCTGTATAAAGTTTGCAAATATATATGGGAAAATATATTTCTATGGATATATAGGCCTATGTATACATATTTCTTACTTTCAAAGAGAAACTTGAGAAATGTGTACCAATGGTAACTAACTAACCGAATTATTTAAAGTTGTATACAGTTTAACGAATAACAAAAGTTTAATAATTAACATAAAAATAGGTTTACGTACAGAGTAACATATCTCTAGAACCATAAATAACTTATTAACGAATTAATTATACTTCTAAACTACCTAGAGAGAGTTTACATAAGTCTATACCTGATACCTCTTAAACGGTTCGATGTCTTCTCGTATACTGGTATAGTTTTGCTGGAAACTATTCTCAGAAGAGACAGGAGAGAGTTGGGAAACGATTCGACAGACGAGATCTGGGAGTAGACGGAAGCTTTGGTCTTGATCTTCTTGGAGAGTATCCGCTCTAAAACTCGGGTTCCTGCCCCTTTTATTCTCTAATCTCCTCCTCCAATTGGGGAGATTAGAGAAGACACAGCTGCAGCTGCTTCACAATGCAGCTGTGTCTTCTACGTGTGAGGTATGATTTTTCAACAGGAAGAGGATATATAAACACGGAAGTATTATTCCCTTTTATCACTCTCTCACGAGAATATAAACTCGCGCAATCTATTCTCTCCCATGTATTGTATTAATTTAATAAAAATAACGTCTCACGTCTCCAGATTCTTATATCTATTTCTTCATTACTAATTTATTTCAGAGGTAAAATTATCATAATGTTATTATACGGATTTAATTAATATTTATTATAGTAATTAATTTTATCTATAGTAATAATCAAATCTCTTGAGAGTAATTTAGAATATAAAAGCACTCTATATTATTACTCGTCCGGTTGAGATGTTATCATTTAAAATGCAAATCATATAATGTAGTAATTTTCCTCGTTCTTTGTTAACTGACATTCGTTTACTGACCTTTGCACTAAAACAAGGTAAGAATTTAAAAGAAAAACAATACATTTCTATTTATTTTTATTAAAATTTTTACTAATTAATTTTGTATCAATAATTCTAATTTATTACTTTGGCCATAGACATGGAAGATCATTCTACAATAGAAGAAAGTGGACCAATTCGTAGGAAGAAAAGAGTGGCTTTCTTAAAGCTATTGGAACAAGTTCAAATCACAGGAGTACCTCAAATTGTCACAACAAAAGACAGAAAGAGCAAGACTTATAAATTATTGGTCTTTGTTTCGTGTCTTACAGGTTTCATCATTCAATTAACATTATTTATGCTAAAATATTTAGAATATCCCACCAGTTTAGAAGTATATGTTAAACAGATAGATATTAAAGACCTTCCAAAGCCCATGCTTACAGTTTGTGATTTGAATGGGTAAGTCTATTTAATGTATATTATTTAATTTATTGATTATACAAGTCGACCCCCCTATAACACTGTTGATAATTCAGTTTTATATGAATTCCATGTTGTACGAGTCACTTAGATTTTACAAATATGTGTGCCGGGTTGTGAACGGCTCACGTATTTGTAAAATCTAAAATATTTTCCATGTAACACCTTTATAATCTTTAAAAATATCTGTTTATTCATTATACGACACAAATAAATGATGTTTTTTCTATTGTATAACATAAACTCAATGGTGTTACTATTTACAGAATATAAATATTTACAGAAAGAAAATAATCAAATAGCATGTTACTATTGAGAATACTGTATATTTTTTTGTATGAAGTGTTTGAAATGTTTGAAAATATCTTTCTACATATTGTAAAACACGTAAAAGTTGAATAACTACCTTATATTGTCAGTGTGTTGGCTCGCTTTAGAATACTGAGTTAATTCCTATAAATTAGCTCAGTAGTTTCAATACTTCAGATTAATTTAAATTCTATCAAATTACATTATATTCTTGTGGCATCCTCTTCTTCTCATTCTTCCCTGTTATGAGCATTTTTCAGATATGTTTCCATTCAGTTTTTGACGTTATTCCTCCACCTCTTTCTAGGTTTTCCTCTTGGTTCTTTCCCTAGAAACAAAGTTCGATGACTTAAATTACAATGCAGTTTGACTGACAAGTTTCGTCTTTATTTTTTATTCCTTTCTTTATCAAATTCGATTCCGATATAACAAGAATCAGTGGAAGACAGACAAAAACCATTCTTTGATCGATTATTAACTTTACTCCGCTTCAAACTATGCTTCAGGAGTTTTATCGATTTCTATTATTCAATTTATATTATGATATATCATCGACATCATCAGTCAAATGTCGACTAACTTTAATATTAATTGATTTATTAAATAAATAAATAAATAAATATATAATTAAGTGAATTGTATTATATATTTTTTAAAACTATAAGTTAGATTTCTGGAGAAGAAACTTATTTATCTAAAAAACAAGTGTGGAGTGGAGTGAATTTTTTTGATACTTATCGAAGAAAATTTCCAATAAACAGAAAAGTTTAAAATAAAAAAAAAACTACTTGTGGCTGAAAGGATTTGGTTTACTATAGTGTTCAATATAAAACTAGTGAAAAGATAAATTGGAAGTTATGAACAGCGACGACGACGACGACGACAAGAACTTGCTGTTCAGAGTGTCCTTTGTGTAAACAGCTAAATTTAACTACTGCACGTGAAGGACTATTATGACGATATAAAATCGAAGGAAAAGAAAGATCACAGTCGTTAGCCTGATGATGTTGCACAAAAGAAACGCATAAAGAAAAGTATATCCACGAAAACTATGTTCCAAGTACCTGGACTATTGTGTAATCTCCTCTCGATTCATCTCTTTTTATTGATGGAATAGAGAAATCAAATTTCATACTTAAATATCTTTATTTCATGAAGTCTTAAATTCTCTTAAGATTCTCGAATATTATCTATAAAGGTGTAGAATACGAATATTTTAACGAACAAAAAATATTGTGGCATCGTTACAATGCCAGGCCGCAAATCATAGTTTAAATTCATCTATATAACTCCGTTCTCCAGATTAAGGAATGACAGACGGACGGACGACAGTGGGAATTTATAGGTCTACAATGTTTTCAAACTGCAACCCAATTACACAGCATATTGTATCTCCTTACTGTTGGCTTGATTGTGATGCAGCATCACTACAGTTTCAATTATTGAAAATTTCTACTCTTATGCATCAATAATTTTTTATATCAACTATGAATATTCATAACAGTTTCTTCCTCAAATATTTCTTTTCATACCAAGCAATTTTCATATTAAATTACTATCATTCATCATATTTTACATTCGTTGTAACAATAAAACATCTATCGATATGGAATTGTAAATGTATTTTAAACATTTAAAGTGAGGAGTGCCTTTGAATTTAGTAAACAAATAATCTACTTGATACAAAATGGATAATTTATCTTATACTTTAAAGAAGATGTATGGATAAATTATAACTGTTAAGAAGATAAACACTTGTAAACGTATTAAATATTTGCATATAGAATTGCATTCTTATTTTAAAAAAAGAAAATAAACATGGAAAAGTATTAAAAATTAAACTTTTTAATCGAAAATCAAGGAGAAAAAGTCATCAAGTAGATAAATATATGAAGAAATTCAACAAAAGAAGCAAATTGCATACGTGAAAGAGCAGTCTTCATAGGAATTTCTAATAAAAATATATTATTATTTAAATATATTTTGAAGAAAATATTATACTTTCTGACGTAGAAACTTACAAATGTAATGCATTTACTAATCTTATATAGATCTATGAATATATTAAGGTGAAGTGTATGTAGAATTGCATTCTAAGTTAAAAAAAGAAGGAAATTACACATGCAAAAGACAGCTTACAATAAAAATTAGTAAAATTTTAACATTATTTAAAACTATTTACAGATGAAAACTATTGTATACTTCACAAAGTACGAATCATTGTGTCATCTCTTACAAATTAAAAGTAAGTTATCCAATCCTCATATTTCAAGTGTTTACACCACCAAGCACACCTCCACATACCCATAATCTTAACAGTTGTAAAAGCACTTGAAGGAACGTATTTCCATTAACTTGATAAATAAAATCTGATAAGAAATTGTCAAAATGTAAGCCAACAAAAGTTGTCAAGAGCATGGCTTCTATTTGATGTTATAGAAGAGGTGTTATGTTATGTTAGTATAGGAACTGATACCTATCTACGTTAGTAACAGATACAATAATAAAGCACGACAGTATATTATCTGATTGAATAAAGTCTTCATAAAATATATAGAATTGCTCATCTTACAGCTTATAAAACGTAATAAACTATTACATATTGTCATGTATAGGTACATAATTGATAAAATTCTATTGAATAAATATATTTAAAAGCATAAACAATTGAAGTAAAGAAAGATAAAAGTGAAAAAAAAATTATATAAATTATTTCTCAAAATAAATAAAATTTTGTTATTTTTACACTCGAATATACAATATGTTTTTACATATTAAATAAATATAATAATTTATTATATTTAGTTGTTTAGAAGAGAGAATTTACGTGTGATATAAGGACGAAACTTTCTAAATATTGATATTTATGCTCGCAATTTTTAATATTATATAAATAATTTTCGTTCGTACAAAGAATATTCTGTAACTTAAAAATGTATTTTCTGATGAGAAATAAAAATAGAATCTACAAAAGTACATTCAGTTTTTATAAAAATGCAATTTTTTTTTCCTCTTCTTTGTCGAGATGCTTAAAAATCCAATGCGATTCATTCTTATATATATATATGTATTTCATATACATGCAAATAATTAAAGATTTTTAAATTTTCTTATTTTTATAAAAAAAATTAATATAGATATAAATGAAAAATCCTAACATTGTTAAAACTGCAATTTTCCAAAGAAGAAAATGTAATTAAATTGTGTTTTATGACGTTTCCTAAACCGAAAATGTACTTGACCTTTCTCGATAATCGAATGCTCTTGAGCTTCCCTCTAATTCTTACAAATTAAAATTTATAAAAATTACAAAAATAATGCCACTAAAACACGTAATTATATATTCATTAACATATTTCTATAATATAAAAAATTACCCTTAAATAAAATCATCTATCGACGACAAATTTCATTAAATATGTTGATTTTCTTCAATTTTAATTTTCAGTTTTCGATTATTTTTTTTTAAATCTACGTAATGTTTTGAATTTAGATAAATAAATTCTTGAATTTTTTTTAAAATTTCGTTATTAATATGTACAGGGTAATCCAAAATTTCGCCATGCATTTAAAAAATATAATTAAGTACTTAAGTATTTAGATAACACAGCAATTTAGCTAACCGACTTTTGGGCCACCCTTTCGCTATATTATAAATATTAAATTATAATGAATTACAGATTAAAAAAATAAATAAATTTTAAACTTATTTCTTACAGCTTTCTTTTTGTTTTCTTCATATATTAATTTATGTTAATGATGAAAAGCATAAATTAAAAAAAAATTCAATTTATTAGATAGCTAATTTTTTATTTTAATGAATAAAGATACAATGAAAAATAATTAAATTAAGGTAAAAATTTATAAAGAAAAATTCTAAGAAAATTGTATAGAGATCATCTTTAATATATCCTCATTTATAACACAATAATTCTTAAACATGTTTAAAGTTAAAGAGAATTAATTCAAGATTTTCTTTTGATTTTCGATTTAATCAAGAACACATAAGAGCAATTATCTAAAGTTATTAATCAGATTCTTCTCCTTTTCATAAATATTTTTTTCCTTCTTCTTCTTCTTCTTTTTTACTGAAAAGTCAAGAAGACATCAACTAACAGTAATTTATATCCTGTCCCATTGGATAACAAGACATACGTAGACATAGTACATTAATATTTAACAAACACGAGGTCGTCGTGTGGTTCAGATTAGTCACTTGGCATTGTAGTTAGAATGATTTATTCCCTAATAAATATCCAGTTCTTCTATTTGGCACCTTTTCTCAAGCAAAGTTAAAGAGTAGAAAGAGAGTGAGAGAATTTTCCGATCGCAGGAAATCTCGTGGGTGCCATTTTTAGACATTGCAACATACAGTAAAAAAGAAGAAGGGAAAAAAAATTCTAGAAGGTGAGGCAGGTTAACAGTTTGAATTATGTATGAGAATGGATTTAAAATTGCTCTTCTGGTTGTACTCTACAAGATCTTTTGGTATTCCTTCATATGAACTTAAAGAACTTTGCAGTTGCTGTTTTGGTTATTTAAAATTCATTTTTTCTTCTACGTTTGGAGAGTTGGGATGTTGCATCTTTTGACGTCCTTCCATCCTTTAAGGGATATAACTTAGAATAATAAGATTTTTAAAAATATTATTTTGCATAGAATATATTTTTAAAA